AAATGAAAATCATATTTCAACGGTTCTCATACATCATGCAAACACAGCTATCAATACGTGGTTGTGCGGATAGCGCCGTCGTTGTTACACGAGCGGTCTCCGGGGGATTCAGTGGTGGTGGTTCGCGAGGCAAGCGACGAGCGACTGCTTGCCTGTTCGATAGTCGTTATGGTTATTGATAGTTCTACATTGGTGACTTGGTTCCTCGTTGTTCCTCCGAGCTTTTTGCTGCAGCTGTTTGCACATAGTGTTAAATAAGTTCTCCCTCAAGTACACTCACGTACATATAGTCGGCTTGTTCTGATTCGGACGTCAGCCACTGAACGCACGCATCACTTTTATCGATCTAAGTCTTTGCATATCACGTCAATAGTTTCATGAATTCATAACTATGGAAACATGAATATATCGGTAGGCGTCCTCCCGAGAGACCCTAGCCAATCACGAACTTATCGATGTCAAATGACGGTCAATAGTGCACTGAAGCATGTGAAAATGTCAGATTGCTTCAATTCACAGACTGCCGTTGAGGTTGTTATCCCTCGTTCATAACAATATTTCTGGACGCCTTCTTAGCATAAACCGTTCTCGTATGGTTACACATAGCGAATGCTGTCCTGATCAAACCGCCAACAAATGCAGCTGTTCATTTTATGTCTCTGAACTGTACTACAAGGTGACTTACTTTTGTAAGGACAGAAAGATTATTGGATATCCATATTCACGGACTTGTAGATGTCCAAGATGAACAATAACACCATGAGTGTTTGTGTACGATGAGATCATCACCTCGGGCCATGTATAGAGGCAGAAAGCCTCTGGTGCTGTATTCGCAGTTTTATGCCCTTGCTATAAGGCACTGGTTATTGCATCGCAGAAATGATTATTCCTTTCTGAAAAGAGATCTGACTCATTCCGCTTTCACGCTAGCTTTCTCGCTGATGACTGCCGTGTTTGGACTATCAATCAAGAAATTCAGGGACTTGAGTCAATGGTTTATTCCAAACCGGTTTTATGTAACAGGGCCAACCTCCTTTTCTTAATCTCTACATATACTAAGGTCACCAACGGCCAAAACCGATTCATTCCATATGTAGTACCTCCATTTAAATTTCAGTTTGTGTGGAAGCCAACACTGCTGTGCGTTTCTCAGCCGTCGTTCTTGCCCGTTCGTTAGAACAACTGTCTTACAACACCACCAACTTGATCGACACGAAATACACGCGAACGTTTATGAACAGAGTTCATACATTTTCAGAGCAACTATTCGACAGTGATGCGTTGAAATTTTTGAAACGGCATGAATTCATAAACTGCGTTGGATGTTGTCCCCCCTGGTTTATTAACAGGATATTTGAATGCCTTCCTGGCATGCTACTTTCACTCTTGGCTGTCCTAATCTAACGTCCAGCAAATTCAGCCATTCAGAGAACACTGAACTATTCTCCAAAGATATTCACTTCTGTGAAGGCCTATGGATTAGCAGTTATCCCGTGATCTTTACAGCACTTGCTTCCTTTACCTCATTAATTTTTAAAGGTGCTCTACTACAACTCGTATTTGCGACCAAATGTACGACAAGTAACGGACGTAGAACGCAAAATTATCAATCGTAGCAAAGAGCAAGCAGCATTCTGTGTTTAAACAAGAAACTTCTACCTTTCTGCAGTTCTCAAAAGAATTGCAATCTTACCGGGGTCGTTAGAATCAAAGAGATATTGCAAAAATGACGTTCAAATTCTGAGAAGTGACAAAAAAATATTATCAGTGATGAACTGCTCGATTCGTCTAAATATAAATCTCCAATATTTGCTTTTGAATACGAATTAGATTTGGAGAGACGAGGATTTGATTAAGTTTCTCATGAGGTGCATGAAACAAAGATTCTTCATGGACAGCGGATATTCGTTTTATTTCCCTTGCAATGAGATCTGATGGCCACTGATCTTCTGTTGTCTGCATCTGGGTACTACATCAGCAGCTGACTAGCCAGTGGACTTGGTTGCTTTCCTTGAAATGATCGAATTATTCAAGCCTTCCTTCTCTTGCTACTTCCGACATACCTAGGAGGTCAAGTAACGCTAGAATGTGGTCGTTTCTGATGTGATCATATCAACTAATTCTGATGCATCACAATCTGCACTCTTAAAGACAGTTCTGTTGGCGTTTGCGTCTTCTTGCAATAGTGACAGCTTCTTATAACTCATATTTCCTCAAACATCAGATTTCACGGCATACTGCATTGCTCCTTTGCTTTCAGTTGATCAGAGAGGCCATATTTCTAGGGAATTTGAGAACTTGCAGTGCCAGTGGCATTTCGCATCATATTCTTCATTAAAGATGGTTCATGGTTATGACCAATATAACCTTTTCCAACAAAAATTTTGAGAGACATTGGAGGTGGTAAGAGGCCAGACAATTTTCCTATTTAAGTTCTGCCTACCGATTACACTCTCTTGAGATAATCGCCAAAGTGCTTGAACCATAAAACTCTTCAATAACCTTATTTTTGAAACATGTACTCGTTTTCACTGTTTTGTTTACATTCCATATCATCTTTGCTTCAACAAGGTTCAGCTGAATTACTTCCTCAGGGTGCCTTAACGCAAACAGCGTGCATTAACTCAATGTTTTCCGACTGCAAAATTTATCTTGTTTCTTGTCTATAGTTCTGTAAGTACTAGAGTAAACTACTTTGGTGTTACTTCCCATCAATATTCCGTAAATGAATGCTCCGTTGGCGGAAGCTGGTTGATGGTTTGTCCTAGCGTATCCTTCATTGTATTAGGACTCGAGCTGTTCCTAACCGACGTCAGTCCTGAAAGATCGTGAAACAGGACCACACAAATTCTACAAGGACAGAAAGGAGTACAGTAGTCTCAGTGTTAAGAAACAAATGCTCACGTCCTCGTTTTCGTCGGAATACCGCTAGCTGACGTTGTTATGGAATTATGTTAAGCAATGATGAGTACTATGCCGCTGAGTACAAAAATTCCTCCGGTCTTCGTCATGGTGTCGTGCAGTACATGGGTGAATGATCGTAGAAGATGATTTTCGCTAGCTACCTATCGTCCTTTACTTCATTTGTCAGGATTGTCTGATTTTACTGTCTGATGAATCAGCAAGATCCAAAGCGTTTCAAGGTTTGTACATAATAAGCTAGCCATACAATTTCTCCCAGAAATAAACAGATTTCATAAATTTTGTGTCCTTCACTTTATCAAAAATTAAATGAGGCTAGCAGCATAGAAATTACGTTATACGATGGAATGACCTTGTTTTGAGAAACTAGTACTGTGAAGCAGTACTCCAGAATCCGACGCTGAATAGATGCCTTTGTATATTGGACACAACCAAACATAGTCGAACCACGAGATGCATACAAAAGTGGAAAACGTTTGCATTATGCCTTTATCCATCGATGACCCCTGACTAAGTAGCGTACAGCTCAGCTGATCTAGTTTAGTCTGATCTAGTCTTGAAATCCTGCCCATCGCACAACGCCGTTCGTGTGCATTTTGATTAGCTGTCTTCTGAGTGGAATAACGACGGCTAACCTGCGAGTTCAAACGGTGTCTTCCTTGATCCAGTGGTTCATTGACTGAAACAAGAAGAACCAGGCGATTCTGATTGCTTCATTTAAAGTTTCAACGATCCATATCAAGCTAGATCAGGAGTCACGGCCCTCTTTGTCAGATCTCACGAACGCAAGTCGATGCTCCTCAAATCTTGTATATTTTTTGGAGTTTTTGTGCGCCTGCTGCTTGGCACACCATTTGGGATGCTAAGCCTTGTGAACAATTGCCGAAGTCATTTCAATGATCATTCAACTCGATCAATTCAGGGAAGTGGAGCACTTTGTGAAGTTTTGATTACCGAGCGGTATCGTTGACGAGTGGCGGAAAACATTTGTTTCTTCCTGCCGGCGGGAGCTCCAGCACAACATCTATACGCTCCATTTAGCAGGAGTGAAAATCCCGTGATAAGGATGATAAACATAAGACCAGGATATCTTTGGTTATAAGCAATATTAATCGATTTCTTGCGAGAAAACTCGAAAATCAACGATAAGGTCTTAGCAGACCTTGGCATTGAACTTCCGCTTCTAAAATATGCTGTGGTATTGGTAGGGTTATGAAAAGGAATTGCGTTTGTACTAAGCAACTGCCGTTGCAAGGCTTGACTCAGGGATAAAATCCTGGCGTAACATGAAATGATGAATGGTACAACCGGCCATTGAAGAGAGTTAAGGCTATGATAAGTAATGAAACAGAATTGGAGAAAGGATAGTACCTTTCTATTATTATAGGGCTATCTTTTTAATATGACACTCAGCAAGAATTGTTCGTGATGCATTTAGTGTGTTTCACTACCTCTAGTTCCATTGCCTCGACACACATCTGTACACATACACGGATATAGCATTTTTATCAGCTTTTTTCAATCCACTGCTAGATGAAAGCCTTTTCAAGAAGTTTACCATAAACTACTGTTTTCTGGTATCCTTCTCCATCTTGATCCAACGAACTTGTTTTGCTCCACCTGCCATCGATCTGGAGTTTTTTCTTTGGCAGTTTGCTGCCTCTTAGACCTAAGTTCATTGCTTGGACTACAGCTAATGACGCTGTCAAGCATCAATTTATGACAGGAGTATGAAAAAACAATTAATGGTTAGATATGATTTATCATGCAACAAGGTAACTAACATGCTTTCAAGTGAAAAATAATAAATTCTTGCCCATGCCCAAGATATGTTTTAGTAAGTTTCAAATCCTTTGCATACGATATTTCTCTCAGTAGCAGTACGAAGTTCTGAATAGTGGTTTTATCCGTAGTTTCGTTTCGATTCATACAGCTATTTTCGTTTGGCACCTGCGCTTTTGAAAGACCTATTGCATTTATGAAACACCAATCTATGCAGGATACGG